TGGATTTCACAAAGGCATCACTTCTCTAAGCCCCCGTGGTTTTACGTTCAGGCAGTGCGACTGTCACCTTGCAGCTGCAGCCTCCGGTGGACTTCCGTGTGCTCGGCTCCGAACCGAGCCTGGCGCCCATCAAAGCCACGGGCAGCTCCTGGGGCGAAGCAGTGACCTTGGCTCTGGACGAGGCTGCCTTGGGTGGGGGTTGCACTTTTCCACGAAGGCCCCTAGCATAAAAGCATGCTTGCCCCAAAATGAATGCCGGTTTGAAATAGAAACCCGTCCTTGCAGGATGCAATCTTGCTGGCCAATGCCGAGTACTTTCTGCACCTCACGGTGGAGGCCCGCGTCCCTGCCAGCCGGACAGCCTGGGAGGCGCGTGGGAGGGAACACAATGGCAGGCACAGCTAGTTCAAGATGGCAAGCCGCCAGCAACAGCTCCCCGATTGCTTCTGCGTGTGAAATTCCTGGCTGGTGTTCAATTGACACTTTGTTCCGCATGCTCATATTCCGACATCGCCATGTTTGGTTGGCATGCGCGCCCAAAAAAGAAATTTGTCACTAAACCCTGTCAGGTGAACATTCTGGATGGCCCCGTTACCCCATTCCAGGCAGACTCCAGCGACCGCTCCATCGGGGTGCTGGCAACGGGGGCGCTGACTGCCACATTGGCCACGCGGGCGCTGCATGCAGCCTGGTTTGTTGATTGGCATGTTGTCCGTATTCGATGCTTCACAGCGGCCTGGTTGTTTGTCCAGGGAAGGTGCGAAGCGAAGAACCTTGCAGTTTTGCACTTGCCAGCTGAGGCTAGTGCGGCGAGTCTGCTCACTGTGTACTTCCGGCCGCAGATGCAGACCTCCTTCCGCTACCTGGCCTTGACAGCGCCGCAGGGCTACGACTTCAGCGATGCTTTGAGCCCAGGCCGGTGCCCAAGATCTGTGGGCATGACTTGTTGCTTCTGGTGAAAGACAGCGGTATGGGAAGACGCTTGCGGATGTACGAGCCAATGACGAGCACGGTAACCTTGCTTTGCCAACAACGAACGCCAAAGACGTAGCAGCCAAACTAGCGGAACAACAAATCCTTGGGCTGGGGAATGTTCATCTTCCAAGCTTTTGCGGCTTGTGTTGCCATGTTTGAAGCAAAGCTGCCAGGCACGTGCACTCTCACTGTGTTGCTGTCGCTGCCAAGCTACTGCCAGTGCTTGGTGGGCTTTGCACCGCATTCTGCGAGGATTGTGCTGCCACCATTTTCACGGCTGCAGTCACAGGAGTTTGGCTTTGCGATCAGCGCTCAGCTCCCGAGCTTTGCACTGGCATGGATTGAGGAGACCACTGGACACGCATTCTTTGCATTGGAGACTCAGACGGACGATGAGGAGCCTATTGACAAGCGGCAGCTCTCGCTTGCGACACGTATTTTCCCCCACACCTGTGCCCAAGCTTCCGCCAGTGTGGTGTCATTAGTGCCCAGCCAAATTTCTACAGCCACGGTCAGGTTTCAGCCCGTGGCTGATCATTCATACTTTTCGCTTACTGGCTTTTTCCTGTACATTAATGCACCTGTCGGGTATGCCTGGGTGACTCCACTCACCTCCTGGACGGCAACTATCCAGAGTGCAGCTGGCTTGTCTCCAGCATCGGAACTTCTGCCGGCCGGCATCTGCACAGGTGAAGCGAATGTGCTCTGTCTGAATGCAACGTTCATGGTGCTTGCTTCGGAGGTGGTGACACTGACTGCTGACATCCGCATCCCAGATCAAAACCCAGACGTCCCTCAAGACGGCAGGCTGCCAAATCTAGTGGTTTGGCAGCTCTTGTTTTCGTTGGCGCCAAGTGGCACATCCATCCTGCCGCAAGACCGCTGGATGGGCTGCGAGGCAGCCTTTGCTGCCCCGAACCGCGTGCGGCGCATCTTCTCTGCTGCAGTGGAGGCCTCGAACGCGGTGGTCTCGGCGGAGAATGACATCACATTCTCCATTACCACCGTCACCGAAGTGCCCGTGGGTGGGGCCATTGTCGTGTTGGCGCCTTCGGATGTGTTTGCCTTCCCCGAGCCCTGCGAGCTGGCGGTGCCTGACGCGCGTGCCACCGACATCTACGGCCTGCTGCTGCCGGACTCCGCCGGGGCAGCGTGCCGCTCTGCAGCGGCCCTGCCGTACCGCGCAGCCGTGGCTTTGCGCTTCGGGGCTCTCCCTCCCAACGCCTACCTTTTCACCATCCTGCGCGTGAGAAATCTGCAGACCATCAGCGCTGTCGCCGTGCAGTGGCAGGCGGGCAAGCGGGCAAGCGGGCAAGCAGAAAAACGCCTAGCTCTTGATCTTTTTTGGTGCATCTTCAGGCATGTTTTGGCTCCTGATCCAGGTCTACACCATTGGAGCTGAATCTGACATCGATGCCACTTGTCAGCTTGGGTGCCCGCTCCAATCCTTCTTTGGATGATCATTGAACGGGAGAGAAGGTTGCCAAGGGTTGCACTGAATGATTCTCATGCCCATCGCTTTCTCGGGATGGATTGTTGTCGATACGGGCACTCTTTGTACTCATAGCTGAAAGTGCCAAGGCATTCCATGCTTGTCTTTCCATCCAACTTCCCTGAGAGTGTTTTGGGGTGCCATATGCAGCTCCCGCAATGTTGTGGAACTGCCCTTTGCCTCAATGGAGATTGCACTTCAGAGTTTTTAACATGTCTGGCGATTGTGAAGAGGTTCTGTAAGAGCGTGGCTCAAAATCTGCCGGCTGCTAAATCCAATTCCCATCCATGAAGGGTCGTGCTGCCAAAACCAGTCATCCCCGCGCCTAAAGCTGAGCTGCAGCGGGTGGTCACCGACAGACGTTCTGGAAAGTATTGCGCCTGAGGGGGCATAGTGTTGGACAACTCCCTTCCAGTCGATGCCTTCATTTCAATAGGCAGTTGGCTTTTCATTTATATATTATATGTATATATATATGTATATATATATATATGATCATGAGCAGGGGGCAGTAGGGGGCCAGGGGTACCAGGTTAGCAGGGGCAACCACGAACAACAAGGCCGGCAACAGGGCCCAAATCCACTTGGTGGAACCTCGCCAGCTACCAGGCCCGAAAATTGAGGTGGACATCGCAACTGAAATTTGTGTGTGTGTGTGTGTGTGTGTGTGTGTGTGTGTGTGTGTGTGTGTGTGTGTGTGTGTTTTGAGACGCAATTTGGTTATGTTTTTTTCTCGTGGTTGCATTCGTCTCGTTTGTCTCGTTTGTCACGTTTGTTTTGCCTGCCGAGGCTGCGGTGCCACCGCTGGACGCAGCGCAGAGCTTCGAAGGCTTCTCTGTGCTCGTGGCCCTGACGGCCTTCATCGACACGGAGCTGCTGGACCCAACCGCGGCCAAGTTCACTAAGGGCCGCGGGGAGCTGAACCAGGCGCCTTCGGGCCATGCGCCATTCCTGAAGGCTCTTTCCTTCTCTTTTTTGTTGCCCAAATCTTGTTTTTCGTTTTGGGTTTTTCGTTTCCGCCCTTTTTAGTGGGACGGGTGGTTCGCAGGGATCAATTGGGTGTGGGGGCTTGGCTCCAATGATTCAATTGGTGGCAGGATACGCGATGTGGGAAGCCAGTTGTTGATGAAACCGGCACCGGGCGTGCTGGGTGGACAGGATTTTGACTTGGAAGTTCAGATCTGAGGCCAACTAGGTACTGGGCTGTAGTTGAATGGCAGCCTGGTTTTAACTGCTGTTGACCAGTGGGCAGACGTCACAGCCCCTGCACATCCTAGCTGACTTTGCACCAGTGGCAGTCTGTCAGGTGGTGATTTACTTCGAGCAGGCCCTCGCCTCTGTTGCTGGGCAGACCTTGAGCGTGTCCATTCCAGAGGGCTTCCGGCTGCCCTGGCGGGATTCGGAGGACTGCACGTCCGTCGCGCCTTGGCTCCGCATGTGGCAATTTTCGTCAGCCTCTCTTTGTGGATGTCAGCAGTTGCCGGTTGCGTCAACATCGCGTGGTTGTCAAGGGTTTTGAATACTCAAACACTTGCTGGTGATTGGCATATGTTCGGTGCTTCAAGTGTGCAGCCAAGGACGCTCGGCTGGGCGTCGCCCCGGTCAACCTCGCGGACCCCTTCGGCCGCGGCAACTTCGACCCTGCCCGCTTCGCCTTTTTCCCGGGCAACACGAAGGTGGCGTGCGCCAGCTCGCCGGACGGCACCACAGCCTACCTCACGGTGTCCGAGGCGGAGTGACTGGGCGGAAGGCCCTTCAAGAGGAGACGCCCTGCATGAAGCCCGCTCTAACATCAGTACGCGCGTTTGTGCGCACGTGCGCTCTTGCTGCGATTCGTTTTTGGCGTATGGCCTCACCTGAATACTAGGTATCTATTGTCATTGTCAACACGAGCTGCGATTGATAAAAGTTTGAAATGGCCACTTGAGAGGAAGAAGGAGCGGCCCCTCAACGAGCCACAATGCTAGAAGCTTTCTGCATAAGTCCGTGTCAGTTTGAACAGTCTGGGGCTAAAGTCTGAAGCATTGGATACATTACCCAGACCTTTGGTTGGTGTTTATTTGGGTGTGCATGGCATATTTAGGGAATGCTTTTGGTTCTGACAAAGCCGTGCGTACATATGGTGAGGGTCCCCTATGGAACTCGCACCTCTCCTGGTTGTCGCGTGGTGGCCTGCAACGGGATTCCAAACCGTGTCGATTCCTCAGAATCCCAGAGCACGTCTTCCCGCAGGCCCTGGTGGAGATCTCCCGTTTCTACGTGTTTCGGCTGGTGGTGCAGAACGCGGACCGGAGCCCGGTGAGCAACTTCTGGCGCCTGGAGTTTGGACCGCAGGCATCTCTGCCCATCCCAGGCTTCACCATGCAGGTGGGAGCATCGGAATCTTTTGGCTCATCGCACTGCTGATTCTGGCAGTGGGATGTAGGCTACAAAACGGGACGCAGTGACTAGGTTCCCGGATTGGATTGGCATGGCTCAAAAATCTTTCGGCGGCCATGTGCTTTTCTTGTGTATCAGGGTCGTTTGCTTAGCAAGTTGCTCAAAGACAATGCGCTTACCCATTCTCTACCCTCTCGACTTTTCCTTTGGCACTGTCAACTCGCATTCGGCATTACTCCTTGAGAAATGCAGCTTGGTTGGTCTTGGGATTGGCTCCAGCTTGCGCGCCAGGCTTTCCAGCAGCTGGCCGTTTCTGCCGCTTTTGCCGGCGCCGCGCAGCGTGTGGGCCAGGCCTTGGCGCGAAGGGAGTGGGGAAGGGAGTGGCGGGGGTGGGACATTGGCAGCCAGTTTTGATGCAGGCGCCGCCCAATTTGTTGGAGCTCCGATTCCAGCCCTCCGTGCCGGTGCCCTCGGGGGGCGCTCTACAGCTAATCCCTCCGCTGGGCTTTGAGCTGATCGCATCGGTGCCGCGTACCTCCCGTGGGGCCGCTAGGCTGGTGCTCAGCTGTGGGGTCTTTCCAGACTTCTGGGAGGCAAGTTCCATGGAACGAAAATACAAAATGACCCACATCATTAAACCTACTCATACGAGCTTGAGAGCCACAAAAGATAGCCACTGTTCAAGCAGATGGTTTCTTTTTTTGGTTTCAACGGAGTGGAAAAACATTATTGGACGAACAACATGTTACATTATGATATATTATGATTATCCTGCTCAATTACCTACTCAAGCACACTTTTTCGGGTAGGAGGATATCAAGGTAAGCATTGCATGGTGGACTAGCATTTACATTCTGATTTCCGAGGTTTGCTTCCTACCTTGCATTTGTTTCATCGCTGGCGATTGCTTTTGCTGATTGGCAGAAGTGCTCTCTTGACCTTGAAATGGCTGCTCCCACCCCAGCACAAAGCAAGACCATGTATTCACTTTCCGCCTGCTGGCCTTGCCTATTGCAAGATGTGAAATCGGCTTGCGCCCTGTGCGGTTCGCAACCCCGCTCGCATCTGGCACGGCCATAGATGTGGCGCATTCGTCTACGATGTCGCGAGCCCTGAAACTATAGCCCTAAAAGCCCCAGTCTGAACCAAACATCACTGAGCCAGTGCGTGTCATAGCCCGCAGTGCCAAAAGCTCAGGTTTTGGTCAAGGCAGGGGCTCGGTGCCTGGACTCCTCGCCCGTTTTCATCGGTGCGGGGTACTCCTTCGAGCAGTGCCAGGCCGCGTGCGCCCAGCGCGGTGCCGAGTTCTTCAGCTTTGGCATCGGCGACCGCTCCGGGGAGTGCGTGGCTGGTCAGAACATCGGGTTTTCGGGTTAGTCTTACTGGCTGCATTTTGCTGGGAGGACAGTCCTTCCTATGTCGCGTTTGGTTGGACGAGTTTCTTCTGAGGCGTCGAGTGTGTGTTTTTTTGAGCCGCTTTTCCTGCCTGCTTCGGACCCTGGCTTCACATTCAGCCATTCAGGTCCAAGAAACTTCGCTGGACGGAAGCGAGCCCTGCCAGCAATTCATTGCAGATGAAACCTCCAGCGTGTACCAGATCACGCCCACGGGAAATTGCTTCCGATTCGTGCTGGATGAAGATGGAACTCTGCGCTGCTTGGTTTGGCGTGTAGCCTTCTTTTTTTTCTTGGAGGTTCCTGCTTCGCAGAAATGGTGGGAATGAGCTTATGACCCATCCGAAGGTGCATTTATGCTGTTGCTGTCTCAGGTTCCAGGTAGTACGGTGATTGCCAGCCAGTCTTCGCAGGGTGACTGCGGCTCACATTCAATCTTGTTTTGTCCAGGCAGGCCAATCAAGGCATCAAGCCAGGTTCGGACGTGGACTGCAGCCTGCAGAGGAAGCAGACGATGAGTTTGCCGGGCCAGGCGCTGGTTACTGACCCGACAGTCATGACCACTGTGGCGATTTTCGGCCTGGCGGTGGATTCGACGCCTTTGGCGTCCACCAAGGTCTACACTGCTCGCATTGCAGTCCCTTTGCTGCATCGTGGGGAATACGGCCGCTGCCACCGGGTTGGGCAAACCAGGCGCCGCAGTGGGAGTTTTTGGCTAAGTGCGCGTTGAGGTTACGGGCTTCTGCGGGTTTGAGTCGCGCGGGTTGCACCACAGGCAGAACCAACCTCATGACTTTGCTTAGACTTACGCAATTGTTTGGCAAGCAGACGCTCAGCTATCTTTGCTGAATAGCCTAACCTCGAGCTCAACTTAGACCCTGCCCAACTACCCATGAGTGCTAGGCTAGGAGACCCTTTGCACGAAGGTTGATTGTGCTTTACTTTCCTATTTGTGTTTGTTTGCAGTCTTCTCAGGAGATTGGCAACAAGGGCAAACCATCATTCATTTCCCAACACTCAGCTTCGCAGCTTTCATGACCGTGCACTCCGCAGGTGGGTGCTTGGTACTCTTAGCTGAATGTCCCATAAGTCTCTGTGCTTCCTTCCTCAGAAGCGCAAGCGAGGGGTGGCGGGGGGGGGGGGGTGGCATTCTTTTCGAGTTTTGCCGATCTACATCCACTTGCATCCACCTGCTGTGCCAGTTGCCCCGAGGTGCGGAACCCCCAGGCGGCGGAGCAAAACCTCTGGACGCTGCAGAGCTTCTCGCAGACTCTGCTGGTGGATGCTGCCCTGCTGGAGGACGGCACTGCGGACGGCTTTGCCCTGGAGCCAGGCGTGTGATTTTGTTGGGACCTGGTGGGACCTTCGTGTTGCTCACGTAACGGATTCTGGCGGCAGTTCCACATCCTGCGGGCACTGGGCACTACACGCAGTGCTGCTTTATGCTGTTTAGCCGCGGGTTGCATCGCCAACTAAGGCTGAAGCCTGCTTTCAGATGCTTGTTCATGAGGGCAGTGGGTGCAGAGGGGTGCATGGTTGGATCCCCAGACAATCCACTAGCTATGTTATCAAGTCGTATGAGCAACTGGAAGTTGAGCCAGCGATCCCGGTTCAACCGCTGAATTTGTTGGGCCTCGCGCTAGGCTTGGACCGCCTGGAGCTGGTGGCGCTCCCGGAGCTCGAGAAGCACCGGGCAGGGGCGCAGGTGGACCTGTCCTTCGCCTGGGCGCCCTCTGAGCAGCTGATACCCAGCGACGTGATCCAAGTGGCGCGGGCCCCGGATCTTTCAACGGAGCATTCTGGCTGGCCGAAGCAACCACGCTTCAAACACAACGGGGAGCAAATGTTCTGGAACTCTTTGCAAAAGGTGTCAGTGTGATTGAAATGCTTTTTATTTGATAGCTTTCCTTTTTCAGCTGCTTTCTGCAAGCCGAGCTCAAGTTGTGAGAGTGTTAGGTTTGGCTCAGCCATTTTGCTGACTAATCGCTGATTGTGCATGGGAGTCCTCTTGCGCATCTCGATTAGGATTTCGAAACATTTTGCATTGAGCTGGCCTTAGCCGCAGGCGGTCCCTGGCTTTTCATGTTTCCAGCTGATCTGTTTCTGGCTTTTGAACGTTGTGCACCATGCCTCATTTTTGTATCTCAAAGTTTTGTAAGGCGCGCTATTTTGGTTCCTGGTTATTCGTTTTGCTCGTTGCCAAGCCGAATGATTTGTGACATCTTCTTGTGTGCTGCAATCGCAACCTTGGAACTTGACCTTCACAGGGACCAGTCCGAAAACTCAAATACAAGGTTCGGACCATGACCAAAGTAAGTTTCGAATGCATAGCCTGTTATGCGCACGAAGATTGCCCGCGTGCAAGGAGCTGCCCTCCTGGCTGAACGCCTCTGTCTGCGGATCGTTGGCCTCGGAGAGTCCGGGCCTGGCGACGGAGGACTGCAGCGCGGGGTCGGGGACATTGCGCTTCAGCCTCAGTGGCGCCCTGGCGGAGGGCCAGCGCATGGATTTCCGGATGACTGAGCCTCGGAAAGCACGAGAGCGTGCATTGTGTTGTTGGATTCGCCTTTTCTGGTGCCGTTGATGTTGAGTGCGTTGCATTGTGTGTTGGTGCTCCGTTTCGGTTTGTTGCCTTGACTTGGGGCTGGCCAAGGTGCAGAACCCCAGCGCCCAGCAGCTGACCTCCCTCCCCCGAGGAGAACTCTCGCTGGTGCGGGTGTCCCACATGCGGCCAGTAACCTCGGCAGCCGGGGAGACGCTGCTGGCGCTGGCGAGCTCGGGGGCGACCTCCCACGCAGTGCAGCTGCCCATGCCGCTCTTGGAGGTTCGCCAGGCGCGACTGAACAGGGAAGGGTTACAGGGCACCAGTTGTAATTGCAAGCAGACACTTGGGATTTGAGGATGTGCCCATTGTGCGGAGGGCGCAGGGGGCTGATTTGAGGCTTGTATTTGATGTGTGTGTGAGAAAAGAACGGCATTCTGCAGTTGAAAGGGTTCCCTATTGGCGAACCCTCGGTTGCTTGTTGCACAATGGCACATGCTGCTCCATGGTGCTCATGGTGGTAGACAGTTCGCAGCCGAATTCTCCCACGTTAAGAGGGCCGAATTCTCCCGCGGCGTGGCTTTCTGGCAGGCGTCCCCTCCGTTTGCAGTGGCTGGGCACTTTCCGACGCGACTGGAGCTGGACTTCCGGCTGGCCTCCAGCGGCGCGGACCAGCTCTGGGTGGACACATCCGGCGCAAACCCCATGGACTTCACCCAGGCCAGGGAAGAGAGAAGAAAGAACGTGAGCTAATGTGCGGAGCGGGTTGGGCCCACCAAGGCTCAGTGCAACGTGGCGGCGGAGGGGCAAGACACCGCCGCTCTCTTCGGCAGCATCTCGTGCTACCCGGGAGGGCAGCTTCTTTGCCGAAATGGCAGGGTTTGTGTGCATGTTTGGCTTAAATAACAGTAAGATATCCCGTGGTTGGAGGTTGGGTGAGCGATTTGGATGCATTTTGACTATTGACTTCTTGGCTGTTTTCAGTCAAAGTGAGACTCAGCTGCGGCTTTGGCTTATGCAGATAGGTGCCAAAAGGCCGGCTTTTGTGAAGACGTCAAATCAACACCCCTGTCCCCGAATGAAGCCAACCTTGACCCTCTTTGTTCCCGCATTGTGTGGCTTCCTGCCGATGGGGCGTTGGCTTCGGACGACGTCAGGCTCGACTTGGAGGTGCGCAGCCAGCTGACGACGGTGCTGTCGCAGCTGCGGGTGGAGTTCGCCACTTTCGAGGCCCAGCGCCTCTACACCCTGAAGGCAGGCGCTGGGCCTTGAAAGGGACGCTGAGCTTGCCGGGGCGCTTGTCTTATGAGGGGGTGCTTTTGTTAACTTGGTGGAGGTCATGTTTTTGCAGAGGTTATGCAAGATAGATTCATGAAGCTTGGTCATCCACAGGTACTGGCTTAGAAGAACCATCCAACCATCCAAGCCATGATGTTCTTTTAGGTACCGAGCTGATGAAGAAGAGTTGCTAAGGTGCTGGGCAAGCGCGGTTGTCAAATCATCCAGGTCACATTGGACCAAGGCGCAGCCCATTGCATTGGGTGTTGCGTTTAGCTGTTGAACCCGTGTCTCAAGTTGAGTGCGGGCCTTGACACTTCCATCTGGCCAGTGGATGCAAGACGCTGTGCGCAGGTAGATGGTCTGCGCCTGGGCTTTGTGGCTGAAGCTGCCGCCCTCACCGTGGCCAGCAGCACGGCCAGCAGCAGTGCAAATGCAGAGGACTTTGGGCAGGCGCCTGCGCATGTGCAGAGTCGGGAAACGACCGTTTCCCAAATGAACTCCATTTCAGATTGAAGATTTGAGCAGCCAGCGCGATATATTTAGATATACACATACTAATTAATACATACACATACACATACATATATATATATATATATGGAACTGTTTGTGCCCACACCCGTGATGCAAGGGAACCATTTCAGATATTCTGGTCGATGACCGATTCAGTAATTGGCGTGCTGTGTTCCTCGTTGGCACGACCACCATCGACCACCCAGCCCTCCTGAAGAGTCCAACCTAGAGCTCCTGCACGGTAGTGATCAGGAGTCTCGTAGGGCCCTCACAGGGGACCGGCTTTTGCCCAATCGCCTTGCGACAGGAATGACGAAATAATACTTGCATCGACAAAATGCACAAAACAATTTGCGCCGAGAGTTTGCGCAAGAGTGAACGCGCAGAGAAATTACGCGAGACAAGTTGCGACAAGAAGACTTGCGCTCAGAATTTGCAGGAGAAGCTGTGCGAGGTTTGCGCAAGAGAAATTGCTCAACAAAAGCTGCTCGGGAGAGATGTCACGAGAGAGCCCGCGCAAGCACGCTGATCATGCGAGAACCTGCATGCTTGTGCCACACGCGAGCTTGCAGAGAGAGCTTGGCGACGTACTTGCACAAGAGAGCTTGTGCAAGCCCGCTTGCATGAAGGCTTGCGCGAGAATGCGTTGCGGAGGGGTCTAGATAGTTTAAGGGGCGTGGTGGGACCAGTCTCATTTTGAAATGGTGACATTGTCTGCGGAGATGGCATGTCGACACACGAAAGCCGTGCCTCCGCAACCCTTACCCCATTCAGATTCGCAGCACGCATGAGTTGGAGTAGCGCAGTTTGGCGGCTCAAAATTCGCAAGTTGCGGGAGAACTGGTGATAACAGAACTTGCGCAAGAGAACTTGCGCCCAGAATGCGAGCAGAGTATGCGCAAGATGAATCACGCATCTTACGCATCTTGCGCTCGCCCGGCTGCCAACTCCAAGAATAGTGTCAGCATCGGACTTCACCCGCGCCAGCACAGCGAGGGAAATTGTTGGGGACCGCTGATGTATTTTGATGCTGTCTCTCATGAGGAACCGGTGTGTCTTTTTTACTAGCCCCGGCTCGGGGCTTGACCCAGGCTAGGAGGCTGGTTGGTTGGTTGGTTGGTCGGTCGGTCGGTCGGTTGGTTGGTTGGTTGGTGGGTCGGTCGGTTCGGTTGGTTGGTTGGTCGGCTGGGCGGAAACATCCCCTGCATTCCCAGCATTTCCGGTTTCTTGTCAGGGCTGCGTGGGCATGACCTGATGGTAGTTGACAGTTGCTCGGGCTAGCCGGCCGCATCGTCGGCATTACTGGCCTCACTCGGACGAGAGCTGCCTGTTGGCTTTGATTTGGTGGCAGTTCAGGGTTGCTCGGGGCTGGTTTGGGGTGAGTGTTGGGCTTGAGGAGGTCTTAACGAGGGCGGGTCTTGGGTTTGTTTGGGGTTGATTTAGGCTCGGCAAAGGGCTGATATGCAGGATGCGGTTGGGAGGGTTTAAGGTTGACTTTGGGTCGGTTTTGGCTTGGTTGGGGCTGATCTGTGCTCGGTGTGCGGGCGTAGTTATGCAAGTTTTAGGCTGGTTTGGGATTGTGCCCCAAACCACCAATCCCAGCCCAAAACTTGCATAACCACATCCCTGAAGCAACCCGAAAGCAACGGCTAAACCAGCCGCACACCTAGCACAGATCAGCCCTAACCAAGCCAAAACCGACCCAAAGTCAACCTTAAACCCTCCCAACCGCATCCTGCATATCAGCCCTTTGCTGAGCTTAAATGAACCCCAAACAAACCCAAGACCTCTCGTTAAGACCTCCTCAAGCCCAATACTCACCCCAAACCAGCCCCGAGCAACCCTGAACTGCCACCAAATGCGGCCGGCTAGCCCGAGCAACTGTCAATTACCATCAGGTCATGCCCACGCAGCCCTGACAAGAAACCGGAAATGCTGGCGATGCGGCCACCAACCCTCAGCCAACCTCTTTGGAGGGAGGCCTTGTGCCGAGCCGGGGCTAGTCAAAAACCGGGGCTAGTAAAAAACCTACCTCAACCCTCTCATGATCGCATCCAAGAAGGTTTCCGCGGTGCAGGCGTTCCTCTTGGACCGCAGCTCCCTGTCGCTGCGCTTGGCCGGGCTGCTGGAGTTGAAGCCGCCTGGCGCTGGGTCCTTTGCCTCCTTGTCCGACGCTGGGTGAGTTCAGCTTTCCAGCGTTCAAGCTGTTTGTGTTGCGTTGGCCTGTGTGCGTGCGCAACAGCGCAAGCACAAGTGCAAAGTTCGAACAACATTGCAACTTTGTATATACCTGTGGATGGAGCCTTGGCATGTGCGGTGGAACGTGATATTTATCTGATATTTGTTGACACTGGTGGGGCCGGATTCTTCTGGCTGTGCAGGGTTCTTGTCGAGAGGTAGTGTTCATTCACGTGATGGGGAGCAAGAAAAGATTGCCAATGCTGGTTGGTTCCTTCCAACTGCTCTAGACAGTTAGTTCCGGGCCCCCCCTGATCTAGTCTTGTGATCCCGGGGCAGATTTGACGTTCGCAGCGCCGCTCAGCTGTTGACTTGGGAAGACGCAGATCTTGCGCCAAAGATGCGGCGTTTTTCTGCTGATGTAGCCACAGCGGGTGGGGCGCTTTCATCTTTTGTCAACCATTTTTTCTCCACCTCTTCGCTTTTGGCACCGTTGTGGGGTGGCTTCCTGCTCTACCTGCTCTTGTGGCGGGGCTCTTCTTCTTCTTCTGCCTCTTCTTTTTTTGGCGTGTTGGTTCCTCTCCTGTTCGTCCTGGCTTCCGCTTCACCTTCCACGCTCCTTTGGTTCATGCCCTTGTCCCTCATCATGGTCTTTGTGGCGCTTGCTAAAAATCTCCACCCTTCTGTGAGCTTTGTCTTTGAGTCCTCGTCTTGCGCATCTGCCCTTGCTTCGCGTGCAGTTCCTCGACTTCCTCTTTGCTAGCTGTTGTTCTTCGTCTGTGTGGCCGCCTTCCTTGCCTCACAATGTGTAGTTTGGCTCGCTTGGGGTTTGCGCCTGGAGGCGCTACACATGGCCGTCTTCGGTTCTTGTTTCTCGATTGGGATGCAGGGGGTTGCTCCGTCCGCTGTGTGTTTGTGTGTGTGTGTGTGTGCGCACGGTTAGTTGCAGATGGACCGCTGGGTCGATGTACGTAGCGAGCGGGAAACCAAGCGAAGCGAGGTGCTCCAAATCTCGAGACGAAGATCTGAACTGACCAATTCCACCCTCGTGTTGTGTTTGTGTGTTCTTTGTGTGGGTGGTTCTGTGCGTAAGTGTGTGTGTGTGTGTGTGGGCAGTCTGCTTGTGTTTGTGTGTGCCTTCGCATGGAGGTGGGCAGGGAGGTGGGTAGGTGGGGAGGTGGGCATCTTTGCACCTCTTGTCGATTTTTTTCACGCTCTCCTTGCTGATGCTTAACTGCCGTTTTGGCCATTCGGCATGAGTCTGGCGTGTTCTGTGCCTCAATGCACATAGTACTGAGGGGTTTGCTTCATTTTCCCCCAGAAAGGTTCTGAAGCCAGTTCTTAGAAGGCCCAACGAACCTTTTCAGGGAGCTGGGGGGGCCCTAAGTTTCCCGAAGCATGGGTGGTTTGCGCAGTGCAAGGAAGGGGCCATGTTCGACACCACCTTCTTCCTGGCCGCGGATGGGCAACATTTCCTGACGATGGCCTTTGTGCTGCAGGCCGCTGTGCTGGGCTCGGAGCGCCTGATTGCTCCTCTGCTGTGATGTGGGCTAGTCAGTCAGCTTTGATCTTCATGTTGCGTTTCTTGTTGTGAGTGCTGCTGGTTGGTGTCGGGTGTTGGGCTTCTGGCTTTGTTTGCGGGTGGTGCAGTTTTGTAGGTTGGCGGTGTGGATGGGCGCTTGTTGCTTTTGAGTTGCTTGCTGAGTTGTTTTTTTTGCAGCCGCTTTGTGGCCTAGAGCTACGTTGTCGAAGTTGCTGCTGACATTTTCATGGTCGTTACCGTGGTGGTTTTCGTCATAGGCCTGATTGCCTCCAATGATTTCGCAGACGTCACCATCCTTGCACTTCCTCCTGCGGTCAAAGGGGCCGTGTCGTGTTCGTGATCACCGACAGTTGTGGCCTGTGGCTGTTGGGGTTGTTGCAAGCCAGAAGAAGATGTTGATTGATCAGTCTGGTCCAATCATTTCGAATCATGGACATAAGGGACCACATATTTTTGCCTTTTCTATGTGCTTGGTCGAGTTTGCAAACTGCTGTGCTTTGCGATTTTGGGATCCAACATCTCCTCCAATGCGCCTCTGGTTTGCGGTCCTGATTATTATGGGGTGAGGTGTGAGCAAGCTCTTTCTTCAAGTGTCGGCGGCTGGGTCGCCAGTTCCCTAAACGGCCAGCGTCGTTCAGACTGCACTTTGGGGGCCGGTCTCGGAATTGAAGCCGTTGACAACGGGACGCATCACGCCGCATCACGCCGCGCAGTACTCGCTACAATTGACGCAGCGCCGGCGCATGGCCGACGCATGACGTAGGACGCAGCACGGACGCAGCGCCGACGCATCTCGCCGAATCTCGCCGAATTTCGCATAATCCTAGACCACATCTATCAGACCATGTTGGCTGACCTCACAACACGCAGCATCCAAACGAGCAAAGCGTGAGCCTTGACGAGCCTCAAACGACCACAGTAGCGCTTTATAACACACTTTCTGAGGGAGCAGGGGGGTGGATACTGCTGGTGTCGGGGGGAATGCGCAAGCTGCGCTAGGCCAGTCTCAACGGCTAAGCAAAGCTTTCGCCTTTTGATGCAGCCTGGATCTCCAGATGGCTGCTGTGGATGCAGGCCAACAGTTTGCATCACCAACGTCAAACTAGGAGGCCCCATGTTCAGAGAGGTGTAGGAGCGCGACCAAATCAAGAAGCAGGAATTGAATGGAGAAGCGGCGCAACCTGGCTTCCCTAGTTGATGTTCGAGCCTGTTTGTGGGCCCCACCAAAAGTTGGATGTCCAGCCTAATCAATGCGAAGGCTCGCATTTGGGGAGTCCCGAGCCCTGTGAACAATCAGCTGTTGGGACTTGCGCGAAGCCAAGGTTTATCCAGCCACCGGGGTTTCTGTGAGCTCCAGTGCCGATTTTGGACTTGCAGCGGAGGACGTCAGCTTCAGCACTCGTCTCAGGGAGCTGCATGCAGATGACGATGTGTTCCAGGTCTATGCGCAGAGCGGGCTGCTTGCTTCTCACAGGAAATGTGTTTTTTGCCACTGTTTCTGCTTAAGACTTCAGAGTCTCTAGTTGCTAGGAGTTGTGACTGTGCCAGCCAGTAGTTTGACTTGTAAAGGTCACCTGCGCAATTCAGCCAGCGTTTGGATGTGGTTTTCCTCGGGTCTGGCACTGCGTTGCCAAGCGGCTTGCCTCTCTCGCTGCGCCTGCCGTGTCGGGTATGGTCGGTGGCGGCGGGCAACGGATGGCTTTTGCTCACAAGCCTTGCCGAGAATTGGGGCCAGCTGGGAAGCATTACAAACACGAACGTGGAAGATGCTCTGCTCGAAGGCTTCAAGTTGTTGGTTTCGCTTTACAAAAACACAAGTTCGAACACTGTGCGCGTGTTGAGTGGAGTTGATTTGTGACTGAGCGAAGGACTGGCCCGAGGGAATGCAGCTCATTCCGGCTTTCGACCCTCGAGCGAGCATGGTGACAGCCTCGAACATGGGCGCCTCCGCTCTGATCCTGGTGACGCTCGTCTTCACACCAACGCAGGCAGTAGCCAAGGACGCCGGTTAGCCCCTTTGCTCCTTTTCCGTGTCAAAACGAGTTTAGGGGATGCTGCACTTGCCGAATCTTTTGTGGAACTGCTGCTGCTATGTCTGGTTTTGCTGATAGACACCGTGCCGCGATGTCTGGCCTTTTTGGCAAAGTATGGTATAGTGAATCGCGACCAGTTTGCAGTCGTTTGTATCTCGTAGCGCTGGTGATGGTTTCATCTCATCTCAGTGACGGTTCGAGCAGATGGTGCCATGGTATTGAGTGCTCGAAGCTTCAGATGTTGGCACTAGTTGAGAACCAACCGTGGCTAGTCTGAATCGGGAGGACAGCTACCTTCGTGTGTCTGCGCCTGAACTGTTCCTGTGGCGGGGGGATTGCTTGGCAGCCAGCAGCCCATCAGGCAGGGGGCATTTGCCCAAATTGGCCCTGCTCGGCAAGCCGTGTTCTCCCTGGCTCTCAACGGTTTTTGGCATAATGAGGTCCAAGATTGCTTTGCTGGGCAAAAAGGAAGAACAACAGCTTTGTCAGGCCTCTTCCTAGACGAGTGCTGGCGCGACCCTGCAGCACCACACGTGGTGCTCCTGCCGCTAGCGCTGGCGCTGCACCCGGGCCTCGCCTACGAGGTCTGGATGGAGGCGCTGACGCCACCGGAGCTGAGGCCGCCGAAGCCTGGAGGAAGCACCAGACTGAAATGACCGGCCAGACAAGAGCCAGTGATTTGGGATGGATGAGTGACACACCCCAGAATGATGCGAGTGATGCTGAGGCAGAGCTCGTGCAGGTCAGTGACCTGCAGAGACCTGCAAGAGTTTTCAGCCAGGCACTGCACCCGATGAAAATGATGAAAGTGATGCAGGTCAGTGATCTGCAGGATTTCCGGCCCATCTTCCGCAAGCAAATGGGGCAAGCAAATGGGCCAATGATAAGAATGATGGGGGGGCTGCCGCCAAGCAAGCGACAAAGCAAGCGACGATGATGCAAATCGCGCAGGCAGCTCAGTGACCCACAACCCCCCTTACCATTGGGAAGCGGCTTAAGGAAGGTTCTGACCAGGTGGGCCCCACTGAACACTTGCATCAGCTGGAAACCCTGCAGGGCCTGCAGGGCTTTGCCTTAGCATTTCTTGGATTTTGAAGGTCCAGGGTTTGGTTGCCAAGCTTCCTTCGGTTTTGCCGAGCCCAGACTTCAACACCCCCATCCCAGGAACCGCTGGGGGGTAGCCACCCTGTCGCTGCCGTCCGGGCTGGAGCAGCACCGGGCCGTGGTGCCATCTCAGGTGGCAAGGCTGCGGGGCTTCGAGCTAGTTGGCTTGCAGGCGCGCCTGGAGCCTCTGGCGGACGAGGCCTCGGCCAGCATGGGGGGGGGGTCGGGGCAAAAGGGGGAAATGGGCAGGAAGATAGGAGAGGGCCTCAGCAACCGAAGAATGTGTGGAGAGTCAAATCCAACAAATATGGAACTGTACATGCCCCTCCAGCAAGACCTCCTTCCTCCTTGAGCGGCCTGTGCACTGGTTTGTTCCGGAAATGTTTGCAAAACGTGTCCAGTTTTTCTTTCGCTGTGCATGGGGCACCCCTTCCCCGCTCGTTTCTTGTGATTTTAAGTGTCGTGCCGTATGAAAGCAGTCAATTGAGACAAAGAAGGATCATTTTGGCAAGCAACAAACAGCCTTATAAAGGAAGGTGAGTTTAGAAAGGACTCAACCTTGTAACATACGAATATTTGCGCCAGTGCAGAAACCCACATTTGGTCACGACAGATCGCGCTCAAAAACGCACCCTGTTCAGTAGATACAGTCATGCGGTGTTCTCTTGCGATTTCCCTAGAGCTGGAGCAAATGACACACATGTTTTCGAAATTGAGTTTCTTGTCAAAGGCAGGGATCTTCCTTGACTACATCGGCCTTCCTTCGCTCAACTGGTCTTCTCTGCTTTTGGACCTTCCAACTGTAACTGGGCTCATTTTGATCTGCCTCCGGCAAATTTGATGTGTTTTGCTATCGTGATCTTCCTTCAGTCAACTGGCCTTCAATTCCAAATTCGGAACCGAGCTTGCCGCTCTAAATTTGCCTAGACCAGCTGGGAGAAGAAGTTTGGCGTGGCTTTAGACAACCGGGAATGTGTATATGATGTCTGCATTTGAAGCGTAAAGCAGATTTGTCTTTCCCAGGGTGGGCCCTGTGAGAGAGCCCTTCTTGGTCACACCTTGGCAGGGTGGAGTTACCGGCGTTACCGGCCTCCCTTTCCTCCTCTCCTTCCACGCCGCGGGAGCTGCGCCTTTCGCGGCGCTGAAGCTCACCGCGCCCCCCGCGGTGTCGCTGCACTGCGCAGAGCGGACGGCCGAGTTGGACTGGCGGCTGCTGGCCACGCTGCAGAGGGCCAGCCTGGCGAGGCGCGGGGGCGCGGGGGCGCGGGCGAGGTATCGAGGTATGGCGTCAAGGGAAGGGTGGGCCAAAGCGCAGTTTTTGGGAAAGGTGCGTTGCTTGATGCTTGGTGCATGGCCCACGTCTCAACAGGTTGCACGGCATGACGTCATGCGAGCCAAACACCCTCATTGCCAAATGGCATTGTCAAGGTCTGAGTATGATTCCGTGGAACGATTTTGCACCAGATCCTGTCAGGTCCCTGCAACTGAGCGAGATGATAAGGTATTCCATTTGCTGTTGCTCTCGCACCTTTGCAGGTGCCAGCCTTTTGTGGAGAACGCCTTGAGTGGGCTTTGGTTGGACCTGGGCGCGCCCATCTCCAGCGAATGGTTGGCTGTTCCACTGAGGGCTCAGTCCAGCAAGCACTTGGGAAAGCCTGACGGCTCCTTGGCATGACTGAAGTCTTAATAGAACTACGAAGCCCAAGCAAACTACAAGTGTTGACAAGTTGAGCCTTGAACGCCTTCAACTTATTTGCTTTTGTTCCCGTGTAAGCATGTAAGCAGAGTTTGATGAAGAGTGATTTTGGATTTCGCCCGGTCGCCGCTCCATCCAACAACCTCTCCGTAGCCTGGGCATTTTTTTCCGAGAAACTTGCATGGCTTCAAGCTTCAAGGCTCTTCAGTGCAAAGAAGGTTTGCTCAACGCCGACCTAGGCTTTTGGTCCCTGGAGATCCTCGCCGACGGCGTCAAGGTGGCCTCCAACCTCATCGTGCGCAGCCACCCGGAGACGCTTCGCGCAGTGCCTGCAGTGCCATCTCCGGCGCCCCTGCAGGCTGGGGCGGCCGCCTCCCCGCAGCCATAAGTTTGATCTTTGGAAATGGTTGACAGCATGCCTTGATGCATTTGGGTTTTGCTTGAAGCTCAGGAATGGGAAGAGGAAAGCTTCAATCGGAATTTTAGGCACCTTTGTTAATGCGCATGTTCAAGCTGCGATTCGACAATCTATGCGATGACATGTCCAGAACAAAACAGCTTCGGACATCCTTGGACCTCAAGCCATATGTGCCATCAGAGCAAAAGTAGCGACCATCGTGGATGTGTCAATGCCAGGGGAGCCTGCAAACGGCGATGACAGCACATGCCAGCAAATGACAGACGACAATGACATTCCTACCTCCAAGTTTCGAAGGCTGTTTTCCCAGTTCGCCAGCTACTGCCCAGGCTTTCGATTGCGGCCACCCCTTTTGCGCTGCTCTCGCCAGCGCTGGCGGTGCCAGCTCTGTTGCCGGCCTGTGGATGGGTGCGACTGCGGCTGTGGACGTAGCCCTGTCCCTGTCACGGATCCTGGCGCCGGCCAGCGGCGGCCTGGCGGCGCGGCGCTTCGCCAACTCCTTCAGCAGCTTGGCCGAGGTACCAACTCGACGGTTTAGCGCTTGCACGTCGCACGGGGTAGATGCTTGACACTTCCATCGTTTTCCCCAAAGCCAGTCGGCCCCAACAATTCCTTTTGCAATGGTTGATTGACTTCCTCTTCGGGTTGTGTGGGAAGGGGGGCGTGCGTGGCTGTCGAGGCCACGGTTTCCCGGCCGCACGGATCTTCTCCAACTTTGTGGAGCTCGCCGCGCCGCAGCCGCTGCGCTGGGAGGCGAGGTGTCTTGTCTCGCGCTTTCTACCCCCAGCCGCATCCCCCCAAACGCCCCAAATACGCTCGGAGCTTGGGTTGTCTCCAAGACCTCTTTGAAAATCACTTTTTGGCATGAACGGAAGCACCAGCCAACCGCTGGCAAATGCCTCAAATCACGTGATGCCTTCATGGTTCGGAGCTGTTTTGCAACCTGCAAAAAGTGAACTCTCTGCGGACTTTGGGCTGGTCGGCCCTCAAAAACTCGTAGTTTCCTTACGGTGTTTAACTTTGCTGGCGCAACCCTCTGCTGACTTTTGTTTGGGGGGGTTTATTTTTGTTTAAAGAGTGCTTTCAGCTTGCGCAACGAGCGACAGAGAGAGAGAGAGAGAGAGAGGGAGAAAGGAGAAAGAGCAAGAGCAAGAGAAAGAGAAAGAGAAGGAGAAAGATCAGGAGACATAGACAGAGACACAAAGAGAGAAAGAGAGAGAGAGAGACACACACACAAAGAGAAAGGGAAAGAGAAGAGAAGCAGAACAAAAAAGAGAAGAGAAGAGGAATAGAAACAGAGCAAGAAAGAGAAGAGATAGAGAAAGACTTGGAGAAACGAGAACGAGAAGAGAAAGAGAAAGAAAGGAGAGAGACAGAGAGAGAGAGAGAGAGACAGAGACAGACACAGAGACAGAGACGGAGACGGAGACGGAGACAGAGAATGCGAAAGAGAGAGAGAGAGAGAGAGAGCGAGAGAGCGAGTGAGAGAACGAGAAAGAAAAAGAGAAAGTGAAAGAGAAAGGGGAAGAGAAAGAGAACACGAAAGAGAAGAGAAGGAGAAAGTTTGGAAAAACAAGAACGAGAAGAGAAAGAGAAGGAGAAAGAGAAAGAGAAGGAGGGAGAGAAAGAGCAAACTTCTGCCCCCCCAGTTCCGCCGGCTTTACTGGTAGTCCAGGCGGTGGCTAAGCATCCCCGGTCAGATTTCAACATTTGTTCGAGCAAGAAGCTGGTGAGACATGAGGCATTAGGCCCGCTGGCCAAGCTGGGTGACAGAGGGGCCACACATACTTGCGATCAGCAAGAAGGGAAGATTTGCAGGTTCCGATTTGAAGGATTCTGTGCACAAGATTAGAGAGTTTGGCTCAGGTTGAGCAAGATTAGAGAGTTTGGCTCAGGTTGAGCACTTATGTCAGAATTGCTTTGGCACATCCTTGGCAGAAGAGGCAACAAGTGGTTACTTAAATGCTGATCAGGCTGAGCTGGGAATGGGGATAGGCATCGTTGGGCCATGCTCACTGACCGGTCTTGATTGCAGCGATTCCAGTCGTGCCGAAGTTAAAGCCTTGACGCAGAGTGGGGGTTTGTGTTCTCACCGCTACCACACACGCGCACACGCACACACGGCCCACTTGCCTCTCTTACCCGACGCGTAGAGCCCGTGAGTCGTTGGGCGTGAGGACTGTGCTGTGGCGAACACCTCGCATTGGTCCACGGCCTCCTGGCGGGCCGTTTGCTTCGGGAGCAGCGCCTTCATCTTCACTTTGGGTTCCCTGGGCTGCAAAAGCGCAGTCTGCGGGCTCGATACTGACTGGCTTGCGGGTGGTGGTGCTGCGTTTTGCTTGGATTCGCTGTTTGTGCCTTCTTTTGAGTCGCGCAAGACAGGCTGCGGAAATCTCCGTTGACGCCGTGTCAGTCAAACATGCTAGAGGGGACCGCCCAAATCGAGCTGAGGCTATTCTAGCGCTCCCTCTCTGCCCCTCAGGGAGGTGATCACTCTCCGGGGGCTTGCTCTCCAGGAGGGGAGGCTGACACTGCCACGATCGTCTGCATGGGTGGCGTCTTGGTACGAGGCGATCTGGCAACTCTCGAGCTGTGGCATGCTTGCTCATGATTTTGGGTTGGTGGCTGGAGCGGTTGTTTTCAGCTCAATTTGGTTTCACTTTCCTCTTGGGCCATTCAATCTGCTTTGGAATCTGGTTGCTGGCCTTGATGCTTTGGGATGGCACTTCATTTGTTTGTTGTCCAGCCCCATCAGGGTGGCGACCTCGTTGAGCAGGCGGTGCTGGAAAGTTTTCCTTCGGAAAGCGTCTTGCGGATGGACCTGGCCGAAGGCGCGCAGGACAATGATGCCAACGGGACCGACAACCAGAGCACTGTTGCGGAGAACAGGTCCGAGGTTGTTCTGCTGCAGCAAGATCGTGCAGACGCGGAGGAGTGTGCCAGTGAGGAGGAGGAAAGGGGTTCTCTTGTGACACTTGTGTCTGGCAATCTGTAGGCTGGAAGGTCGCAGGGGATCAACAGTTTGTTGTAAACATTGTCCTCCCTGCTAACATGGCACCTGACAAGGGCTCCCTTCAAGAGGAAGCTCATGTTTCAGATGAGGTGCCATGTTAGTGGGAGGGTGTGTTACCTGAGCATTGCAACTCAAACGCGCAGGGAGGCCTGCCCCGCTATGCATGACTGGGCATGAATGTGCATGTCTTTGCCCCTCTGCGGTCAGAGCAGTCCGGAGGAGCTGTTAGCATGCCCGGAGGGCATGTTTGCGTACGGGCTGGTTTCCATCAAACTCGGTGGCGACTCCTTCCTGGATGGCCTGCAGCTCCTGTGCAGGGAGGAGTTGGGGGGGTTGCGTCGGGCGCGTGGGGGCCGATGTTTTGTATGGGTGGCGCGCAAAGATGCTTGCCGTTTGCTACTTCGCGGTTTGTTTTGGTTTGCTCAGGAAATGTGGGTGACAAGGCCACGCCCCCACACCTGAAGAACTACTGTGGTTGAGATCCACAACATGGCCAGGAGCTGGATGTGGGCACTGACCACGTGCAGTGGCAGGCAGGGAATTTGGCCCTGTGTCTTTGGATGTGCCATAACGGCCATTATTCCGCGTGTGAGCTCATCCTAAAGCACCCAAGGCTTGATTCAGCTCTGAACCAGGCACTAATCAAGTCCGAAAACGACATCAAGCCCGACATTTCCCCTGGCGGAAGCACCCACTGGTGCAAGCGGTTAGGGTGGACAAAGCGAGGCGTGCTTGTTGATTTGAAGCGACCCTGCAGTTTGTGGTCAACGGATTCAAACAGGCACGAAGACCAGCCACTTGGATGCGTATGTGAAAGTGACCAGAGGTTCACTTTGGCATCCGAACATTGACATGGGGTGATGTTGACGAGATTGTTGATGCCCCCGGGTGAAGAAACCAAGAAGCCAAACTAGCTTGTGCTTGGTAGGAAGAAAGTGAATGGGGCTTCCAAGCAGTCCCTACAAGAGCAATCCAGCTGCCCAGCTTTTTGCACGAAGTCTTTCCCGCACAAGAAAGCTCAAGTGGAAAAGTGGAAAAGTGCGGCTGTGCGCGGCTGTGTGCAGGTGCTGCTGGGCTCCAGCGCCCTGTCGGGCAACCGGCCCTTCCAGTCCGAGGAGCAGCGCCTGGCCTGCGACGCCGCGGCCTCGGGCCTGCTGGTCGGCCTGCGCCCGCGGGGCGCCGAGTGGCTCGCGGGCCTGCGCCTTGGCGAAGTGGGGCCCATTTCCGAGCCTTTGACGGTGCCAGTCTGGACTTAGGCACTTGTTTGCTTGCTCGCGAGCTGGCTTGCTCGCTCGTTTGTTTGTTTTTTTTGTTTGCTTGCTTGCTTGCTTGCTTGCTTGCTTGCTTGCTTGCTTGCTTGGTTCTTGCTTGCCTCTCGGACATCCCTGATTCGGTTGACCTGGTGGCACCACACGTGCCTTCGCTGCTCGCTTGGCCCTGGCCCCGCAGGAGCGTGGCATGCCAGCCCTGGGCGGCGGTGGAGCGCGACGAGGCCTGGGAGGAGGCAGGCGAGGAGCTGGGCGGCGGCCGCAGCGTCTCCAACTGCACCGGCTTGGTGCCGAGCCTGGGCGGATGTTTCTAGTGGTATTTGGGCCATGCTGCTTGAACATATCTGAAGCATTTTGCCATTACAATTCGAGGCGACCAGAGGCTTCCGAGTATTTCTGAGAGAGCTTTCTTCCTTTGGCATGTAAGGATCAACGGCTCCGAGCTCTGGGCAAATTGCCAGGGCATCCCTGAGCTGAAGCCTTGCCCAGATCCGGAGAAGTGCTGCTGCAACGAGAACTTTCAGTACAGCCACTTGGTTGCCCTTCACGATGCAGCACAGTGGTGAGAAAGAATGGGAGGCGGTAGGGCTCGTGTGCCACGTGCATTCTCCTGTTTGGGCCTGAGCAGTGCGTGCAATCAACCGTTGTGTGTCTCCCCTCATTGTCAATTGGGCTTTCTGAGGCGAGCTGACCCAGCTCTGCGAGGCCTGCGATTTGGCGGCGGCTGCCTCCGAGCCGATGCGGCTTTGCCCGCTGGGCATGGCCGTGATCGGCGCGGATGTGGGCGCCGTGCGAGAGGACGAATGGCCTCCAGAGCTGCGCACGTCGAGGGTTTGCTCCCTGCGCTTGCGCTGCGGCAGCTTGGCGACATGTTGGCGGAATTGAATGGGACAGCGGTGGCCGGGAGGATGGTATGACTGTACGGATCATGGCCAGTGCAGGGACTGCGGGGAGGGGAGGGGGAAAAAATAGTAGAAATAGGGGGTGTAGGGTTGGCTGGTTGCTTTGTTTTTTTCACATTTTTTAATATTTTCTCCTAACATTTCTATGGAGTTGTCCGACTTATTTGTTTTATCATTTGTTCAGTATTTGCTCGTCTGTGTTGTTTTTGATATATTTCTTACAATTGTTTCATTTTCAATAAGTCAAGCAATGGCAACCTTATTCGTTTTTTTAAACCCCAGAATTTTGGAGTATACAGAGTAAAAAAGTAATTCATAACCTTATTCATTCATCAATTTTCACCATTAAAAAACAGTATTATAACTGATGACTAACTCTATAAAAATTAGTTTTAATCACATTATATTGAAATGATATGATTAAAAACAATCGCCACTAATCATTGTCATGTATTCTATTCGTTTATAAATTTCACTTTCTTCATCAACATTTAATTGTTCTTCTGTCTCTGTTTCTGTCTTTGGTTCTTCTGTCTGTGTTTCTTCCTTAACAGTTATTAAATTGTCCTTGTGTCGTTTTGTTCTTTCGTGCCTCGCTTTATTATGAAGTCCTATCATTATTTTACAGCAAGGACATTCATATTGCTTGTGTTTAGTTTCCTTTTCATTTGTCGTATTATGTTCCTCCATATAATCTATACTCCATACTCTTTTAACTATTTTTCTAAACATTTTTTTGCATTTTTTCATTTAATAACAGTCTAAGATATTGACAATTTCAAGGTTTGGGTTTCAGATAATTTTATGGCTTTCTGAGGGATACAAGTGTTTAATAATATTATAAGATAATAATATTAATAAACTTAATCTGAATCACTATCAACAGTATCTCTATAAGTAAACCATTCTATAATCAACCTTGTCTTTTCTAACAAATGACAGACGAATTTATGGTAAAACTCATTATCAAAAATGTTTTTATAAACGACTTTGTCTTTGTTTTCTATATATTGCCATTTCAACATTTTAAGAAAATCTCTACACATCGAGATGCTAAAATCTTTACAAGATACATAACCATCATTATGATTAAAAAGTAAATTATAATGAAATTGAGTAGCGGTTTCATAATACAAGATTAACCTATTATCGTATCCATACTCTTTTAATGTTTTGTCAAAATCAGATGTAAATATTGTCTGTAATGACTTTTTCGTCGGACATTTATTAAACCTCGTCATATACCAAATCCACTTATCCATTTCTTTTAAATTGTCAGGTTCGTTTTTCATTAAATGTTTTGTAATGGTGCATCTTTTACAACTTACAAAACTCAAAATATTATCAATGATACAGTCAGGTAATATGTCATTTGCTTTTTTAACTTTGTTGTTGAATATCTTACAACCACGGCATTTTACATTTTGTTTTTGTCAATTCTTCTCTGATACACTTATTCATTTTTTTCTTAATATATTAAGGGGTCATTTCTTTAAGTATTTTTAGTTTTTGCAGGGTTGGTATTTTGGTTTCAGTTTCATCATTTTCACTTTCAGCATTATTTTATGTCTAAATCATGTTTGTTATTTCTTGTATATTAATTCACGGTATAATGATTGAATTGGTTTTATATCGTCCTTTTTGTGTTTGTTGTTTTTCCATTTGTCAAACATATCTTTGTATTTACTAAATTCATTTTTTTTGATATTTTCCCTTTGTTCAATCCTTCTTTGAATGCTTCGTCCAACAGTTGTATGTTCATTCTTGAGGGTGCTGTTTTGTCTTTTTGTATTGTCTTTTTTGGTTTGGTTATTTCAGGTGTCTTGTCGTCTTTATCTTTGTCAGGTTGTAATCCAGATGATGATGACGTTGCACCTTGTGCTATTTCAGGAGTGTGCTGCATTGCTTTTAGCATCTTCTTTCTTTCTTCTTTGTTCGTTTTACTTTTTGCTTTTGGTCTCATCTCTTCTGGTGCGTCTCGTTCTTGTCGTTTTTGTGCGTCATCTCTGATGCTTTCTATCGCCATTGTCTCGCTTTCATCCATTGTTATTGCTTCCAATGACGCCTTTGCTTTTGCTTTTGCTTTTGCTTCTGTTTTTTTTTTGTTTTTTTTTGGTTTTTGATGGTTTAATTACTTTTGCTACTGCCTCTGGCGACTGGGAAGAACTTGAAGCAACTGTTGCGTTAAGATTTGTCATATCTTGAAATGCTTGTGGTCCTTGACATATATTTGCTAAATATTGACCTAAACTTAAATCCATTTGTTTCATTCTTTGTAATCTTTGGTTCATATCATCAAGATGTTGTTGTCTAACGCTTTGAGAAATAAAACTGATTTGTTTTTCGTGTTGTTCTTCTGCTTCGTCCATTGTAGCATCCAGCGCTTCTGTTGCTTCATCTCTTAAATCATCCATTTCATCGTCCTTCGCTATATCAAAATGCGGGACTGTTTTAGGTTGTTCTAATATTTTTGAAAGTGGTGTTGTCTCAAATCTACGGTATTATTGTCATACACTGTTCCTAATGGACTGTCGCGAAAATAATAAGCGTTTCTGTCTATTACATCTCTGATATTCTTATTTTTATATTCTTCCTTTGTAATTTCCTTGATGAGTTCATTGTAAGACGGTCTTAGTCTCAGTTTTCATCTGTGCATTGTCTAATCTCATTAGTATATAAAATTAATTAGATTATAATTTAATTAATCTAATATAATTTAATTAATTTATTCAAAATCAAAATCTTGTCTTAATTGTTAATTATTCCTTTTTTCTTCTTAATCATTTCCGAATAGGTTTTACCTGTTTCACTTGATGGATGATGTCTCAATTTTTCACCTTCCAACCTTTGAATTTCACTAAAATACGCCTGTGCTTCATCCATATATCTTCTTTTATTTTGAAATATAGCATAATCTGTCTTTGCATTATGAAACTCTATCTGTTCCTTCATTTCTTTCAGATATGTATAATTTGGTTGATGTGCCTTGTTGTCTCCTTCATAATAGTAATGGACGCTTGATTTAAACTTCTTACTTGGTTTTGTTATGGGATTATAAAGTGTGTTTGATGTTGGTAATTTACCTGCTTTGCCATTCTTTGTAAGTGTTGATGTTATATTTCCAAAATCTGACTTGTTCATATAATAATAATTAGATTAAGTAATTTTACTTGCTAAATTATTAATTTTCTGTTTATTTTTATTATCTCGCTCTACCTTCATATTATTGTATCTATCTTTCGCGGTTTCAAATATTTTATGAGCAGTTGTTTCTAAATGTTTTTTTCAATCGTTCTTCAACTCTTCTTTCTATTTCTTGTTCATCCACTTTTGGAATATTATCTTTAACTTTTTCATATACATCTTCTTTAAATTCTTCTACTTGTGTTGGATGTAATACTCGCTTTTTAACTGGTTTATTTAAGTCAACATCTTTTTTACGTTCTCCTTTGCATATGTGAGAATATTTTAATGATTTCTTACTCATTTCTGTCTTACAATCGGGGCACTGGGCTCTTTCAATATTCACTTGTCTTGTTTTATAGGATTTTTTGGTTTTAAACGGTTCTACTTGCTCTTCTTTCGGTTCTTCTTTGGGTTCTTCCCTTATTTCTTCCCTTGGTTCTTCATTAGGTTCTTCTGGTTTCTCTTCCACTGGTTCAACTTGTTTATCACCTTCATTTACATCAACAACTGTTATATCTTTCATCTATATATATTTCTATATAGAATTAATTATATAGAAATATATATTACATACTTTTCTAACCCTCAAAAAATGTTAAAGAAAAAGAAGATGTTGTTCCATTCATATTTAAAACTCTACCCGATGCATCAGTAAATCTAAAATGTAGTCTATTCAACGAACGCATACTAACATCATTAGCATCATTTAAGATTAGTTCATTATCATATATGAGGTTGCCGAATGATGTTAAAACTGGTACTTTCTATATTATTGATGAAGTACCAAAACTACATAACTGGCTTCCGTTACTTAATTCATTACAATGAATATAAATATGTTTAACATGTAAAAATGATATAAATCCACTAACAAACAGGTCTGCAGTAGTATGTATTTTGACAGTAGTATTTCCAAAAATGTCAAAAATACTATTAGGATAATCTCTATCATAATCAACACCAAAACTATAATTAGTTTGTAATTCTTTATCTGTATGGATTATAAAAAAAATAAGAAATACAATTACAACTTATAGTTATAGTATTAGTTTTTAATGAATAGCTACAAGTAAAAAATCACTATTTCCATCAGTTCCATTAGTAGCAGTATGCAATTTATTTTGTAATTCGGTTGCTAATTCACTACCTACATAACTACCTTGATCAGGTGCTACAATAAAATAATATACAGGTGCTCCTATTAATATCCCTCCTAATGTTAAATATAATCTGTTATTTAAATTATCTTCAATTGGATAAAATGAATTAGCGATAGATACTTCGTGACAAATCATTTTAGTATTTGGTCCGCATTCTTGTTGCTCTCTTAAACAATAACAAAATCTGATGTAGATTGACTGTCATTCAAATCACGATAAGCACTGTTGATATATATTTTACGAAATCTCATTATATTAATTATTTAGATAATGTTTTATTTAATAAAATAATTATAAATTAATGATATAATAAAAATATATTAAGAATATCAATAATTAATATAATGAAATATAAATATTATTTAAAAGAAGGAAAATTAAAATCATACAATCCACTTCATCAAGGTCATAGCGAAATGTATAAATTCAACAAGAAAAATCATTATTCAAACCTTAAATATAATAATAATTTTTCTGACACTGAAGGATTATACAAAGCAGAAACAAATGGTAAAGGTTTCTTTATTGATTGCAGTAAACTATATGTTGCTGGGACATTTGGTAAGTCTAATATTAAATCAAATAATAATGATATTTTAAGCGATATA